AAAGATATTGATTTTAATTACGTGCTTTCATCTCTCCTTGATATTAACATGAAGATAGCGAATCTGATTGTGAGACTACTTGGAGTATGAGGATAAACCGCGGAGAACATTTGTGACATAACTCCGCAATAATTAGCAAAGGGAGCTTATATGTAATTAAGCGATCGTACAATGAATCATTATGTTCGCACAACGGGATCAAGCAAGAGGTCATGATCGATCGCGCGCGCAATCGATTCTGTAATCGGACGAGACTTGGGGTGGCACAAGGAAAAACCGGAGCGTGAAAAAGCGAGAGAGAGAAAGATGGAGTGCCGTGGATGAGCTTACAAGCTCGATCGGACGGGGGGAGGGGGTGTCCTTAGTCACGGCGCTAAATATAACGGGCGGTCGGTCAGTTTGTTCGTAAACGAACGTAAAAGCGCTCGACGCGCGATCGTCTTGAAAGCTCCGCTTCGTGCAAACCTCCACGAGCTTTTAAAGAGGCGCGACCGTTTTTTCTTCGACACGCGCGTCTTGTCTTTAGATGCGACGCATATACGAACTGCGACGTTCTTTTCCTTTTTACATATCTTGAGAGCGGGAACTTGGGTAACTTTCAATACCGATCACTTTGATGATCGATGTTCTGATTCGAGAAATCGGATATCTTTCTCTCCTTTAATTTCTGTTTTTCCTGAACTGATGAGTATTAGAAATTGCGCGAGACTTATTTATCTAGCAATTTTTATGTTAAAAATGAAAATTTTTACAGATACTTTTGTTTTTGATTTCTTGGAAGTTTCCGTCATTAAAAATATATTTTTAAATATATTTTTGAAATTGTTTATCTGAAAATGTTTATGTTGAGGATGAGGAATTAGAAATATACGACAGATTTCCAATGCTTGTCACTCGTAATGATCGATATGTTGGTGTACCTATGACTTTTCTTTTAATTTTAATGTCGGTTTCTCGAAAACTTGTGCCATCAGTAGAATAATTTAATAGAGAGAAAGAAAAACAATTGTAATTTATTTTGAACAAACTTATATAAAATAAATAAAATTCTTGTGAAATTCGTAAAAAGAGTACAAATATAAATTATATAATTACTATTCTTTCGATGCAGTTTACCAAAACGAGAACCCTTGAGCGCGATCGAGAAAACTCGTAGGAAGAGCTCCAGAATAAAACGTTTGAGGACGGCACACATTTACGTACGGAAACCGTAAGAGCTCGGCTTTGATTTCGCCGTTTCCGCTAAGCGGAGCAGGTTGAAGCGATAGTCCGGAAATACGCGAGTGAATATTCTGCGTCGGCCACATTTCGCGTGCATCGATTCCGCGAGGATGCTATGCGAGTAGGGTGCATCCGCGCTTACAAAATCTCAACACAGGTGGCCTACGAGGATGACAATGAACGCTGATCGCAAGCTCATCAATCAGCCGTCGGTGGACAGCGAGAATAACGAACGCGTCATCTCTGAGCGCGTGGGTAGTTTTCGTTTTCGACGTTTATATTAACTAGGCAGGCGGCTAATTCTGAATGAAAAAACATTCCAAATACTTTGAGTCAGCGCGTTGAGTATGTTCTTTTGACGTATTACGCGCGTCGCAAAAGTATTTCTAAAATAATCTCGAGTGTCATATTTGAAAATCAGATAGACTTTTTTTATCATATTAGGTTTTCTTCTATATTTTTTGAGAAAAGAATGTATTTGTTTTATCCACTCATATTTTTTGCGAATTAAACATATATAATGAAAAAAATATAGAAAAAAGAAAACGCGAATGTAAAAGATGTAACTAGGAAAAAGAGACGACAAAAAAAATTGGTAAAGATAAAAAATACAATGGCGAAAGATTTCGAGATGGATTGCGCGTGATTTATTACACTGTGTATTAAGTAATTCATGGTTAAATCATCATCGATGTCTCTCGATGCTGACATAATCTCAGTATCGACGCATTGTTCCTATTATCCTCCGCGATGCGTATCCATGGGACGTAATATCTTGCGATTTGTCGTTTACAATGCATAATCGATCATAATCGAGCCTCGTCATAATTATACACGTGAATTATTTCGTAAGTGCACGTGCGAGCTTCATCACGAAACGCGACACGATGATAATCGAGTGACAGCTATGCACGCCTCCTCTTCTCCTCTGTCTCGATCAAGCGTTTCTTTCTCTTTCAACACCACTCGACAAATATTTCAATAATTGTCTCTTTTTTTACGTGTAGGACACGAGAACTCATGTGGTCGTGGAGCTTTACGACACGGAACGATCCTACGTGGAGGCGCTACAAATACTAGTCAATGTGAGTATTAGTGATTTTAGATTTTAGAAGACTTTAGAATCAGATTTTTTTAGAAGATACGAGAAATAAATATCTATAAAATAAATAATATATAAATAATTAATATATAATAATATAAATATTATAAAAGATGATATAAAAAATAATATAAAATAATATAAAAGATATTTTCTGTTTGATGTGTGATAATTATATTGTAAGTAATAGAAACTTTAAAGATTTTTTTTGACTTGTACAGCGATATTAATCAATATATACGTATACATATAGCTAAATACAAACCTTAATATTTGACATAGTTTTCTCCGGAAAATAGTACAGATTTTTAAATATTTGTTATTATTCAATATACTTTTTAGTTAAATTCTTTACAACTTTGGAATCTTTGCTAGAATACGTAAGAGTAAGAGGAGAGAGATAAATGCAGACAAATTAATTTTCTCCAAAAATAATATTCTTTCCGGATTGGATTGATCAAGAGAACTGCATCGATCGATCTCTCAAGTCGCGCTGCAACGTCAGAAGAAACGTTGAATCGATGCATGTCGGAAACTGCGATTTGTCCTTGCATCTTGTAAACAAACAACCCCGTTCGTTTACTCTCTCCGCTCTAGCGAGCTGTTGCTAGTTCGACCCAAGCACGCCGTCTCTTCAGCCTGTTGTTTACATTAAAATTTCCATTCCCGACTTCTTAATCATTTTTCGTTAAACACCGGAAATAAAGTCAAAATATCAGGTCGTAGCAAATATTATAGTTACGGGAATCGGTTGCATAATATTGTATTCAGAATGCATTAGCAATTATACACGTATCGTTGCTCTCATTTCGAGAACTGAGAAATCATTATCAGATCGCGACACAATAATGATAAATTTTATATTGCAATAGCAATTTTTCTAATAAAAGTCATGACTATTGTTTAAATCCATCTACTTCAAACGTTCCTTAATGCTGGGACAAATTTGAATGATAAGAAAATTGTGAAAAATCTATATAAAAATTAAGATATACATGTTTATTCTATTAACATTATTAATTAACATAAAAGATGTAATTAGAATCTGTTTTCATTAAAATAATTGGAATAATAAAGGATTATTTTTTTTTACGTAAAAATTTGGTGCCATACATTTTTCATTATTGCATAAAACATTGTTCGAAAAATAGCTGATCTAACTCGATGTAATCGTAAAACTAATAATTTTCTCTCATACTACTAGGAAAAATAGTATTAATACTACGAGGGGCAGTCAAATATAAATCGAACTTTTTCCAAAATTTATTATTCTATCAAAATATTTTCAACGCACACCCAAATCATTTTTTCTACATAGTTTCCATTAACATCTAAGCACTTTTGCCACCAGTTTGGCAATTTTTTTATTCCCGTCTCATAAAAAGTAGTTAGACGTATCCGAAATGTTTTGCGATTATGCACAAATAAAATGTTGCTTCTGCACGACAACGCTAGGCCTCACGCTGCCACCATAAGAAAAATTGGCTCAACTGCACTGGACCATCGTTGAACATCTCCCTTACAGCCCCGATTTATCCCCGTGTGATTATCATTTGTTTGGATCACTGAAAGAGGCGTTGTCGAGGACAACGACTCGACAATAATTAAGAAGAAAAATGGAAAAATTCGTGTGCAATCGGCTTCGGATACGTCCCACTACTTTTTGTGACACGGGAAGAAAAAAACTATCAATCTGGTGGCAAAAGTGCTTAGATGTTAGTTAAGAAACTATGTAGAAAAATGACTTGGAAATATTTTGATCGAATAAAAAGTTTTGGAAAAAGTTCGGTTTATATTTGACTGCCCCTCGTATATGAGAAACTTTATTCCTACATTCAAAATGTACGTAAATTTTCCTAACAGACAATTGTTTGTGACAATTGACAGTATATTTCAAGGTGGCATTAAATATAACAGAATTGGCACCCTCCTTACCAAGGACGCTTCCAAATGTGCTCGCTATTTGATTTTCAGCGCATTGTTTGCGTCCTTCGTCTGAATATATTTTGTTTTAGCTGGAAAATACATCTAATATTTGAAGGGCATTCCACAAAGTTGATTACTGGATCATACGAAGAAAATAAAAGGCAATCAAGAGCTTTGTTTGATTACTGGATGATGTGCAGGACGAGTTTGCAAGTAAATGCGCGTGTCAAGGTATCGCTATCGCGCGAGATGATAATTGCGTTACTCATCTAAATCCAATTTCCGACGCGGATATTCTGCATGCAGAATGTTCCAGTTCACGCGTCCACATCCTTTTATCTCTTTTGCGCTCTTTATCTCTAACTCTATTGAAATTAAAAGCTAAAAATACTTTAGCAATAGAATCTCATGACTTGTACGATTTTTCAAAATGACACAAATATCAATTTACGACAAGACGTACAAAAGAGAATTTATAAATAAGATAGAATCTTGCGATACAAAGATAGAATTATTAAAATAAAATTTTTTTATGTCTGATTATGCCTAATTTATATTTACATCACTCTAGATGAAAAGGTAGTATAAAACTTAAATCATAAACATGTAATGTATTTAAAATCTATAAAATTTTGAACGCGTTTAATTTTACTAAAAGCATGTAGAGAATTGCCTTTCTCTTGCGATATCTTTCGAAATTTATGAAATTCTTTCAAGCACACGGGATCTCTCGTAATCGGAAGTGCGATGGTTTGAGCACGTGTGCAGCGCGAGACGCGTCACATTAACTTGCAACGTGCTCTGTATAATTGTAACAATTATATGGCCTGTAATTGATGCTTCAATAAAAGGTATCTGGACAAACATTGGCTATAAGACCAATGTTGAGGCCAATCTTTGTTTTAAATAATTAAGCGTGCCGCGCTAATTGCATTGCTGTTTTGCAGCGCGGAATAATCATTGAATCAAGCAATTAAGATAATTAATACACGCGATAAAGCTATCAGGAAATTATATGCTACTTTATTGCACGATTCGTTCGAGGACACCTCTCGTTTTGCCAATTATCAACTTAAGCTTTCAAACGAAATCATCATTTCTCGATCTAAGCCTTTGATAATAAGAAAATCTTTTGCGATACTCTTTCGAGGCACACACATGGATAAATAATTTAAAATATTTTAAAAGTATGTGTATCGCGTACTTTTCAAATTACACACATTTTAATATCACATTTGACATTTTTATATTTTCCACATATATATTAAATTATTTTTTAATTAACATAATGAAAAAAAAATTTTATTTTATTATTTTTGAATATTAAAGGGCAGGATAAAAAGAAATTAAAAGAACAACACACATGCAACATTAAAAACGCACGTTGAATTAATTACTGAGTAAATTTAATTTAATTTAAAAGTAAAGAAATATGTATATTAATAAAAAAGATATATCCTATAATACTTTAATAAAATATATATATGTATATTTTAGATTGCTATCGCACTAAATCTCTGTACTATCACATTTGAAATGCATAGTCAAGTTTAATTTACGCGTGCCACTTTTTACGTTTCCAAAGGGCGCGTGCCGTTTTTTTTTTTCGAGATTCAGAGGCGATTTTTAACTCGTATTATTAGCCCGCGGATCTTCAGCATCATCATAACGGCGGTACAGGCCGGCCTGATTGTCATATTTTATAAACAACGCGGCTGTGTGCCGAAAACTCTTGTCGGCATGTTCGCCGATTATTTAGCAACGGCCTTGGAACCAACGACGCGACAAGAGGTCCCGCATTTTTCACGTCGCCGTGCGACGTAGAAAAAAATATAGTGGGAATGGTGTCATCACAGAAGAGCCGCACAAATAAACTGTAAGACATATTTCCCGCCGCAGTCGATTACGGTATCAACGCGCGTTGGCGTTAATTGAATTTAACTTATTTCTTGGTATTCAAATTCTATTATCATTTAAAGTTCGTAAAGTTCATGGGGGCTTTTTCATCTCGAAGGACAAAGAATCGAGCCAAAGGCTCCACGGTAAACACGCGAAAACACTTTGTCATAATTTAAATCTTATTATCATCATTAGGAAATTTCTTTCGCCAGATGATACAATTTTTTAGCACATTCATATTTTCTTTCCTATTTAATTAAAAATATTATTGATTGTGCGTTTTGTTAATGAGAAAATTTAATAGATAGAAAAATTATTTTGCTACAACGCATGTTTGAAAAACATATTATAAACACAGTATTTGGTACTTGCATTGGTTGCAGAAATATCTACAGCCCTTGAAGAGCCCCGACAATGCCGGCTTGGTAGATGCCGGAACGGTCGACGAGATATTTTATCAGGTAAGGAAAAGTTGTCATCTCATTATCAATTTTTATTCGAAAAAGAACTGTTTTAAGAAAAATAAAATAAAAGAGATATATTATTATTCTAAATGTATTATACAAATTATATAAATATATTATTTTTTTAACCTTGCACATATATGTGCGCTATTACTCTTAAGCCCTTGCCACGTTTGGAGCAGCGGTTAATTAGCAAATTGCTGACTGTTAATTAGCTGTTGACAAACTGTGTCTTTGAAAAGTAGCGAGTAATCAATCATCAATTGATCAATAGTTTATAGCCTGGTATATAGTTTATAGACAAGTATCTAACTAAATTGACATTTAGTTCATCAAATATTAGTGACATTTGGAGTTAATAAAAGATGTGTGAAAAATGTGTTTATTATGTTAAACTTTTATAAAAGTTAGAGGAATATTAAGATTAAAGAATAGATATTTAAAGCTATAACATTTAATGATAATATTTAAAAGTGCTTGTAAATGTGGTTACGTCACTCTTCTTTTTATATTTTTTTATCTTTCTTTAATACATGTACTTGAATCGATAAATAATAATAAATTCATGAGAATTAGAATCCATGACACTTCGCTTGTTAAGCTTGATGCGTTGCGTTTTATGATTAAAAATTCGCTCGTATTTCTCGCTCGATTGCGTATAAAGTATTATTCAATCTCGCGTCGTTTGATTAATGATAAAGTTGTTGAAGGGAAGTGCTTATGCGTTTTCAGATTCCTGCGCTTCTCAGCCATCACGAGGTATTCTTGGAGGAGCTGCGTAGGCGACTGGACACCTGGGAACTCAAGCAGACGATCGGCGACGTCTTCCTCGATGTGGTCAGTTTACATTGTTACTAGGCGCGCAAATATCTTCGGGCCATGTGTGTGAGAGATTAAGCGCATAACAATATATACGTTTTTTTTTTGCCGTTTAAGATACTAAAATGCTAATCAAGAATCGACAGATTCGCTGCGTAACATTAATTTACGGTGCGTTATTTATTTTATTCGGTCTGCTTTAATAAATTAATGTGTGTATCGTAGCCTCTCTCTCTCTCTCTCTCTCATATTATCCTCCTTACATAAACATGGAATATTTGTAGCCCTTGAAACACACATTTGTCTGCGTTCCGCATATTTTCCCTATATTATATAACGAATGAATTTGTGATGATAATTTTGCGACGCATTCGTATAATTCGTTCTTAACTCATGAATACTTAAATAATGAGTCAGTACTTCCTTTGAAATAACGCGTTTACTTGGAGAATTGCGTTTCGCGTACGTTATATATTTTCATCGATACGCCGAGATATAAACATAAAGAAACTTGTGTTTTGCAGTTCACGAAACCGGTGGTGCTGGAGACCTACACCCTGTTCCTGGACAATTGGAAATCCGCGAGGAAGGCGATAAAAACAACGTGCCAAGCGAAACCGGCCTTTGCACGATTTCTCGAGGTACGTTCTATCCGCTTCAATTCTCTCTCTTTTTCCTTCTCTTTCTCTCTCTTTCTCTCTCTTTCTCTCTCTTTATATAACGCGGCAGTTATTATTAAATACAAAACATTTTTATTTCACGTCATTTTTTAAAGCACCGCGGTCCTGATCTTTCGTACAATTTTATTGTGATATAATTTAACTTGTTACTTGATTGCCAATAGCATTCTCGTCTACTTCCCACATAAAATCCTTCGAGATTCTGTACATCTTTGACATGCTTGGCAACTTAGACCCTGGAATACGGATTGTCAATCACTTTAAACGCCAAACTGCACTTATTGTTAGCGTTTGTTAAAGATTTTTAAAGAAAGCAGTCTATAATTTTATTCTATTATAAATTAGTAAACTACAATATATTTTTTAAAACATTATGTGTAAAATTAAGATCAACGAAAGACCGTTTATTAAGCAACGTTAGTAAAGTAAAAGTATTAAAAAAACAGATTATATAATTAATATAATTTAATCCTCAAAATTATTTTGCACAAAGTTTAGGCTTACATAATTACAAAAAAAAAAATACGATTGTAATTATTATTAATCAAAATATCTAAATTGCATGCCAAGAGATAAATTTTCTCTAATCCGGGGTATAATTTTATCCGAGGTAAATTATAAAAAGTTTTCAGTGGATATAGATTGACACTTCGTTATTAATTTTTGCAATTAGACGATGGAGCGCGAGCATAAGGGCAAACTGGGTTTGGACCAATTGCTGATCAAACCTGTGCAAAAGATTCCGCGGTATGAGCTACTGATACAGAGATTGCTAAAGCACACAGACCCGACGCATCCCGATTACGAGCTGCTGCAGGCCGCGCAGAAAGAGGTGCACGAGCTGGTCGTGAAAATCAACTGCACGGAAAGGGAGTCACTCGAGTGGGAACAGCAGCAGACGACATTAAGGGAAGTCCAGGCCCTCGTTGAAGGTCTCGCCGGCATTGTAACGAACGACAGGTATTAATGACCAACGACCTTTGTTTATGATTCTTATGTCGGTCGCGGATGATTCCATTAGCAACGGTATTGATATAAAAAATTGAACAGTTCTAATAGAATAATATATTTGATCGCCTGCCCCCGACGGCTGATCACGGGCTTACGATCGATATGCTGCGCGAGATCTCGATTTACGATCATTTTTTACCATAATATTCTTGCGTCAGTAAAACGCATCTATCACAAATTCATGTTATGATAAGAAAATAGTCTCGATATTTATCGCATCGTGACGTGCGTCTAGAAATTTAATTTTAGCAAAGTGCGAGAAAATAATGGAGCGAGGACAATTGATTAGGATCTGCAAATTGTAATTAATCGTTCAATTTACAGAACGTGCTCAAAATCATGTTTTGTTTAACTTATATTTTTGTTATTTCTAGATACTTGAGTATCGACTGTTTACCACTTTATGTCATAATAATAAAATATTAAATATAGATTGTGGTTGATATTTAAAAAACACATCATTGTATAAAATTTAATAAAACAGTATAATTTAATTTCATGATTTAATTAAACGGTATAAAAATTTCATTATAGCATGCTGTCGTGATATCAATCTTTTAGAATAGCTGTTTCAAAGCAAGCTTTAAAGGCGTAAATGATTGAGAAAGTACATGTATCATAAATGATTGAGAAACTGTCTCATCGCAGTAACGTTTTCCAATAAATTGTCGATTATTGCTGTGACAGAAACATCGTTCCACTTCACGCGCTTTTCAATCTGTGCCAATCGCGTTGCACGCGTTACACCGTTTTTCCACCGGACTTATTTAGCCGTCGGAATCGGGGTATCGATTACCAATAATAATGTGTTGTGGTGGAAACTGTCCGCGACGCGACAAAAAGATTCATCGAATTTATCGTGTGACACTTTATCCGCTTTTCCTCCTGTAGAGCTTTCGTCCGGCATGATCTGGTCACTATAGCATCGAATCAGGGCACGCGGAAGGAACGGGCTTTATTTTTATTCTCCGATCTCCTCGTCATCACCAGCATCAAGCGCAGAAGCGGCACGATAAGAAAACCGTCAACGTAAGTATCCTTGACAAGAATATCTGAAATATATTTAAGTAAAAAACATATAAAATTGCGAATTTTTCTATTTAAAAAAATAAAGATTTTTTCGAATTTATTTTTATAAATTTAGCTAGATTTTATTCGGCATTATGACAGATAACATTTTCTAGATAAAATGTAGACGCTGTGGCAACATTTATCAAATTTTCTAGAAATTACTTACAACCAATTTATTTTAATGATATTTTATTTTAAAGATATTATATAAAGATTTTTAAAATAAAATTGTATAATA